ACTGTGCCTGGAATTCCTCCCTTGAAGAACGCTGGTATACCGTAGAATCGGAGAGGTGCATTTCTGCGATCTCTCTATCTAATGTTTGCGGCATCACTACAAATTCACCCCCCTTGTCGCTAACGGAGATACAAATAGATTTTTTAGATTTCGCGCATTTCTTTAAAACCTTGTCGCTGTTCTCGCGTTAAATTAGTTTAGCGCACGCTCTTAAATCTCTGCAAAACTTCTAAAACTTCAGTTGAAAGTACGCGGAACTTTGTCAATAGAAAGCATCGGACCAGGTTCTTTATAGAAAGAGCGCGGAAATGGCGGCGACGGTAATGCTTTAACCGAAGGTGCGGGTTGTGGGTCACTTTCCTGTCTAGCTTTTACTCTCAACATATCGCGTAGTCTATGCAAGTTTCCCATAGCTCTAAGGCAAATGGAGGCGCTGATATTTTGTGACAGTGAAAATGACGGGCCGAGATTCAGAGACTCTTTTGCCTCTGTAGATGAATGAACGCTACAATAACAGTAACTCTTGCATTTTAGTCTTCTCTTGGATCTGGACTCTCTTCAGATTGGTGGATTTCGGGTAAGCATTTCGGATCGCGGTTCTCACGTAGTGAGTTCGAGAGGCGGTCGTACTTCAAGCGCAATTTGGTTTTGGCATTAGACCGAATGGTATCACAAATAGACTTCAATCCCCTCTCAATCCTCCTCCATACATTTTCAAGCAGAAAACGCTGACAATACAACTTAGCTTTACATTTCAATAACGTACTATATAAAACTCGTTGTCTTTCTTTGATGGAAATCTTCAACAGCATCTGATAAACACTTCTTATCTTCGGGTCATTTTCAGAAAGACCACAGGTAGCCCCTGTTTTCTTCCTTGCTTTAAAGCGGGAAGCAGTCCATTCTTTCTACAACGCTGGAGGAAGGTAACCGACTGTCGTATTGCAACAACTAAATTGAATTGGGTAAATTTGTAGTGATGCCGCAAACATTAGATAGAGAGGTCGCAGAAATGCACCTCTCCGATTCTACGGTATACCAGCGTTCTTCAAGGGAGGAATTCCAGGCACAGTGCAAAAAGCTGAACGATGTTTGGGTTAACGTAGCGAAATCTGCAGGATTGGAGAAGAAATTTATCAATAGACTGAAATTAGAAAACCCAATCTGTCCGGTATTCATCATCTGTTGAAAACGCACAAGATAACAGCGCAGGAAATTCACTCTATGTCCGCAACAACTTATAAGGTGCGCCCAATAATAAGCTGCGTTGGTGGCCCTACAGACAGGATTTCGTGGTTTCTGAATACGATCAAATGCCAATTGCTACCAAAAGTGCCATCGCATTTAGCTAATACCCAGCAATTCATAGAGCAGTTGCGCAATATGAATGTTGATCGAAATAGTGTAGTCGAGTCTTTCGACGTTACATCATTATACACTAAGGGTTGGGCTAGACTGCGCGGCGTACGCGACGTACGCAGCTTACGCCGCGTATGCTCCTATGATGAAATATACCGAGCGTACGCTGCGTACGCCGCGTACGCCGCTTCCCCGCGAAGTCTGGCTCAACCCTAACGTTCAAAACGATGACGCACTGCAAGCCCTGTCTGAGTTGTTAGACATGCATTATTCCAACATGGTCACTTTTCGTCTAAGCAAAGGCTGCATACTGGTCCTCATCAAAGAATGTTTAAAATGTAACATATTCAAGTGGTCTAGGAGCTATTATTCGCAGATCAGAGGATTAGCGATGGGACAACGTCTAGCCCCAGTC